GGGTTTTTGCTGGGTTGGGGTTTTTTGGTTTGTGTTTTTTTAACTATTTTTTGCTGGCAGTTTTAGTGTAACTCTCCTGCCTTGTGCTTGTGCAGAAATTCTTCCAAACACAAATCTAAGGTTGCCTTCAGGCAGGGTTGCAGTTTACCATTTGGAAACAGCCAACTGTGAGAGGTGTGAACTTCCACACCCTCCAGTGGTAGAAGTGAAAAGGCTACTGCAGTAAATAGGGTTTGATGGTAATACTAAGCCTTCCACGATCAGCAAAGATCGTCTTTTTGTCTGTGCAGAGGCAAGCATATGTGTTCCTGACCTCTTGGGCTCATAGTGGTATTACTGTAACTTAATTACTGTTTCTTCTTCTACCATTATTGCAAAATAAGGAACAGGACAGAAAGGCTAAGTGTGGCAATGCAGTACTAAGTAAGTAGTATTTACACCTAATCCCTGTTGTCATTGGAGGCATATCCATACTGCAAAATTAAGCTATAAAAAAAAAAATGCCTTATTCTAAAGTATGCGATGGCTGTTTCTGGAGGAGACACCCCTCCTATTCTCCCCATTGCAACAGCCCAGCAAACAATCCCAAGGGATGTACAGGCGTGGAAGGAGGAAGCATTTTGTTGTTGAGCTGTATTGTCCAGCTGTTCATCATCACTGGGAAAGACTAACAAGCTAGTGGGAAGTGTAGTGTCAGAGCATAAATCTTTGACAGCATAACCTGGGGGATTTTTGTTAAAAGCCAAAACTGAGCAATGAAGGGGAAGAGGTTCTGGTTGTGTTACTTGATTTCCATAAAGAGTGTTTAACTGAAATGGTCTCATATATAGAAACTGGTTATGTGAACAATCTTAGATGTGCTGTATCTATACCATGACTGTTGTGAAAAGCTGGTTATAGGGCCATGTTCCTTCAGAAACTGCCCAGATAGTGGTGAAAACAGGTGGTTTTTTTCGAAGGATAGATAATGTATTGCAGTAATACTCACTGTAAGCAGCCATGAGTATATTTTACTATCATCTGCTGGAGGAAGAAACACTGTTAGTGATGCTAATATTCAAAGCCACAAGGTGCAGCATTATCATGCTCATTCGGAGGAGATGATATATTCCCTTTGGTGAACTACAGGGAATCGCCATGGCTGCAAATGTGAGACCCTGCTTCCCTCCCATTCTAGTTGGCACCTCTGCTTCATTGACATCAGCAGGAGCTTTGTGCAAAGATCAGAGGGAGACCCTGATCTCCATGCTGTGCTTCAGACAAAGGGTCCTTAGGACAAAATGCCATGTGATCCTGTAGTGCAGTTGGTGGCTCTCAGCCTGGAAACTGAGGGTACCAAGACACTGTCTGTGCCTTAGCAGAGAAAATAGACATATTTTTTTCTTAAAAAAATACTTAAAAATCAATGTGTAGTCCAGATAAATCTTTACATTTGTGGTTAGAAACATTCCCCATCTCCTTAGTGATCAACAGCTTTATATATTAATAAGAAAAGACCTGAAAATTCAGTTGTCTTTGACATCCTGGGGAAACTCAATCAATTACATTCTTCACCAATTTCTGTGAGCCTCAGGAGCACTTCATTTCCCTTCAGAAAGGAGCTTTCTCATCAGGCACATCAGAAATTCTGTTGTCCTTACAATGTTGATGGGAAGGACCATCTCCATTGTAGACTTTAGCAGACCAGCATTGCCTGCAGGCAGATTTTCACCATAAGCAAGTTGATCTGGTCTGTAGGACACATCATGGGCTCTTCCCAAAGCTACCACAAGCTTTTATTTTCCCTGGCATTGGAATAGGTTTATACCCCTCAAAATTTTAATAGGAACCATTGAGTTGTCACTCATATAGTTTCAGTATTCGAAACCAGTGTTTACAGTTGGGGTTTTTGAGGCATCACATTATAGATATCACGTTTCTAACTCTTTCCTGCATTTGGCTCTTTGGCAGCCAGTAGAGTAGTGAATTTGCTGTGTTATTCAGGAGCTGAATACTCTGCTGCAGCAGCAGCTTTCTAGGCCACTTGACTCCAGAGGAGCTGCTTAAGGTCTTTTCATAGCAGTTGTCCCTGACTTCTTATCTGCTTTTGATGATGATTAATTTTATTAATTAGAATTATATCAGACCATATTCACTGTACAAATATTAGGTTGGTTCTTGTTCTGCCAGTTGACGGGAGTGACAGAAATGACCCAGACATCTATGAAAAGAATAGGCTTATTTTACTATTGGTGTTTCAAATAATAGAAAAATGAATAATATATTTACATAGACGGTTAGTTTACAAAGCTCTGATACAAACAGCACAAACAAAAAAGATAATAAGAAAGGTAGTGCACCTAATCATTACTACATACAGGAAAGAATAGTGATTAAGAAAGATACATCACCAATTGCCTTAATACTTTGTCATCATCCAGACTCGCAGTCACTGGGGAGGCCCTGGTTGCAGCGAAGATTTGGAGAGCCTTTCCCAGCAACTGGGAAGTTGCAGTTTTTTTGTGGTTTGTGCAGATAACACCTGGTGGTTCTCCCCTCCAACCGAGGCCAGGGCTTGACTAGAGCCCAGAATGCAGGTGGTGGAGTTTACTAGGATATCTTCTAGGCAGCGGCATGGCCTTGGAAATACTTTGCAAACAGATATATGTAGCCTAGGCAAACAGTTATCCATTGTTTAGCCATCTATTTTAGCATTAGACCAGCTGCATCTGTTACTATGGATGTCCTTCCAGGAGTCTAGTTAACTAACACAAAAGAGCACTGATCACAAGAAATACAGGATTCATCTAAAAGTCAACTCTGGCTTGGGCCTATTGTTCAGACCCTAGCATTTCAGTTCTCTGTAAAATTGAAGACTAGCTCTGATCTTGCAAGCACATAATAATGGGACTAACTTCATGAATGTGAGTAGCTCCACTGAATTAATTTCAGAATTTGCAAGTAGCTACTTATCATGTTTTCAAGTGTCCCATATACTAAGTTCCTTCTCCTGCTGTTTTACTATATAGAGAAAAGCTGGGGCTTGTGTGTGTGCATCTAGAAAAACAACTTTGTTTTCTCATGTTTGGCAATCAAAAAATCTGGCAATTTCCAAATGCAGCTGATGAAGAGGACGTAATGTATTGGAATATAATTTCTAATGACTAGAAATTGTGTTAGGCATCACTGAAGGAAGTGTCACATCAGAGTGACAGATGAGTGTCCTGCGTACCTATTTCTTTTCTTCTTTAGAAATTATCATAAAGTTCTCTTCCGAATTGGAAAGAAAGTACAGAAAAATGGAAAGCCAACAGATAAAATTAGTTTAAAACAAAATTAATTTCCATATTTTTAAGATATTTAAATAGCATGTATGAAATTGAAGTTAGTATTATTTTAAAATTATATTTAATTTTACTCAAGTCCTGGTTTTAAACCTTCTTACATTTTACTCAAGTCCTGGTTTTAAACCTTCTTACATTTACATTTTAATGTGTTTTGTATTAATCAGTAATTTAGAAACTCTTGTACCTTTTGATGACTACTACAACTGCAGTTTTTATATAATTTATGCTTTCATATCAAACTTGTAAAGTAAATCTGTTGTGTTTTTTAGAACAGAACACTATCTCATTACATTTGTTGCTGTTGAGAGCTTGTCTTTTCTGCTCCTGCCACAGCAGGATATATGGGGATATATGGAACTAATGCAGTGTGACTACTTGGTTTTCTGGCTGCCATTCCACTAGGTTTCACATTTTAGTAACAGACTAACCCTATAAAATCTGAAATATCAAAGGGTTTTTTAAAATATAAATAAGCAAAGTCCTTAGCACTGATTCCTTCTTACCCTAGCAATACCTCACCCCATAATAAACATTAAAAACATCTGATGATAAACTATAGATAAAAGAAAATTTGAAAAATGCTTCTGAGACCACTAAATCTGAACAATTTAATCCTGGAGATTAAAAAAAAAAACCCCATCATTTGGATAAATGGGAATGGGTAATGACTACACAGGCGTGATGGGGAAACAGCTGATATTACTATACATGTAAGTGAGGGATTTTGCCAACTAGCCACGTAAAATTGCCTACTTTAAGATTCCATCATTGAGTATATATCTGGCTTGGTTATGCTGTTGTGAAAGGACATCCAAAAGACACTGATAGCTCAAACGTTTCATGAAGTCACATCATCATGTATCTGTGTTAGAAGAATTCGTTTCCACTATCCGTTTTTACTGCAGGTGTGTTTGGTGCCTGGGCACCAAATCATAGTATTTTAGGGGTTGGAATGGGCCTTAGAGATCATCTAGTCCCAATCCCCCCTGCCCTGGGCAGGGACACCTTCTCACTAGACCAGGTTGCTCAAGGCCTCATCCAGCCTGGCTTTGAACACCAGCAGGGTTGGGACAGCCACAGCCTCCCTGGGCAACCTGTGCCAGTGTCTCACCACCCTCATAGGTAAAAACTTTTTCCTAATACCTAGCATAAATTTCCCCTCTTTCAATCTGAACCCATTACCCCTTGTCCTATCACTGCAGCTTCTAAGGAAGAGTTCCTCCAGCTTCCCTGTAGCCCCTTTAGATACTGATAGGCTACTATGAGGTCTCCACACATCCTTCTCTTCTACAGGCTGAAATACCCCAACTTTCTCAGCCTGTCCTCACAGGGGAGATGCTCCAGTCCTCTTACAACTTCATGAACCTCCTCTGGACTTGCTCCAAGATTTCCATGTCCTTCTTGTGTTGAGGACACCAGAACTCCACATAGTATTCCAGGTGGGGTCTCACAAGAGCAGAGTAGAGGAGAAGAATCACCTCCTTTGACCTGCTGCCACACTTCTTTTGGTGCAGCCCAGGTTTTGGTTGGCTTTCTGGGCTAAAATCCACATGAATGATCTGTTCAGTGTATATTTTATTTGAAATGCTATAGCTGTATGAAAAAGAATTGCACATTTTAGAGCTTGATTTTGACAACATGCTGCTTAATGGAATGGTTTTATTTTGTCTTTAGGATGTTGACCTGAAAGCATGTCAGGAACCTTTGGATGACTGCTGTCCACACCAAGGACATGACCAGCTGAAACTGCAAGAGGAGGAAGACATAAACCAAGTAAATGATTTAAAAAGTGGAAGAAGGGAAAAGTGTGAAGAGGAAGGGAGGGGGGATATAGGACTTATCACTGAGATAAAGAGTAGTGAAACGGAGTGAAATCTTTTGAAAGGAATATTTTATTTCCTCTTTTCATCTGGAATGCCCCTTGCAAGGGAGGAAAGGAATAGTCACTTCAGACAACACTTCATGGATGTATACCTTCTGGAAAATTGCATACTCCCCCCACCCCTCCCAGTACAGTTTATGTAGTTTAAATGTTGTTAAGTTTACAGAAACTTGAAACTAACCATTTTTGATTTAGTTTCATTTTCGCAGTTATAAAGGTGTTGTGCTTGTGAGCAATGATTATTTTTTTGCTTACAAACACTAGCGACATGGATGCAAAATTATACTGCTCTCACCATTTATGTATACCTTGATGCTCAGATGTAGAATGACATTTGGGACACTGGACTTTTCAGATGTTAACATATTATCATAACTAGAAGGCAGGGAAATAATCTTAATGACATTAAACTAAAATGGGTACACTTTGGGTTTTGTTCTGAGAGCTACAATGGAAAGAGCATTCAATCTTCCTTAGACCTTGTGAGACTTGAGAACATCAGATTCAGGTTTCTTGCCAGCCTCTGTTTGTCATTCCCCTGATAGCTAGGCTGTGAAAAAAAGTCCTTGATTTTTCCACACTGCTAAGTACAGCCTAAGAGAAGGAAATCCCAGTTGTGCTGTTGTGGGCAGAGTAGGGATGCTCCTGCCATGGAGTTATTTTGCTCATTCTAGCAATGTGTCATCTCCTGTCAGGATGAAAACCTGATGGTGGGATCAGCAGTAGTATTTCACAGAGTTGTGTTCTGTTTCCACTTGGACTTTGATTTTTACTTCCTTTTATTGAAAATAACAGTGATTTATAACACATTTCTGTTTCTTCTGTCGTAGAGCAACTGCAACCATGTAGAGTCCCTTCTCTCCTTAGAGGGCTATTTCCAGCTTCTGTCATCACAGGTGGAAAACATGCTAGAGGTAAATGGGAAAACACATGTATTGCTAATAGATTGGAATACATTCAGCACTTGCTGGGTAATGACTTATGTCTTTTATCTAATAACCATACCCCACCCCATTCCCTCTGGGATATATATCCACAAATCAATGTAGTCAAACTTACCTGAAGATGTTGAACATGCTACTACCCACCTTTTTCTCAGCAGCTGCCATTGACCCTGCTGGAAAAAATTTCCCCAGTAACTTGTCTGGGATATGAAAGCTACAGACCACTGTCTTTACTGCGACCTGGTGTTCAAAGTTGGATTAAGCCACTGGATAACTTAATTTGTTCAATTAATAGTTCCCTTTCTGAAACCTAATGCCAATTTGTATTTATACAGTAACTCTTGGTGTGTTCTCTAGAGCATACTATGTTATGGAGCACTAGTAGCTATTGAGCATGTATGTGTGGGGAAAGATTACTTATCATAATTATTGGGTCAAGTGCTTACAAGGTTACTACTGTCAAGGAGGGCAGACCCATCTTTAGTGCAAATCAGGTCAGTCAGCATTTAGTTTTCTTTTTTTTAAAAAAAAGTTGCTTTCTGATACTATTGTTTACTTTCTGTGTGCCTGTCTTCCCCAAAATGACTGTTGTTACATTAATTGGAGTCTCCATCTTCTCTCACAGCTGCAATCATTAACCATGAAACTGTTACCTACATTCCTTTTTTGCCGTACTTCAAGGACACCTTACATACACTTCCCATTGTAGGAGCCTCTTCCAGGGTCATTAGTGTTTTCCATATAACTTCATGCTTATCTCTGGAACATCTGCTTTTGGGATTCTCTAGATTGGATAGTGCCTCCTAGCCCATAAATTAGCCTCCTTCGCTTTTCAGCTTTGGTAATGGATTGCACACTAACAAGACACAGAAGTCCATCAGTTTAGTTTTCTCTGTTTTTCTCATAATTTGGAAGGAATTTGGCTGTAGCCCTTAGGTAGCTGTAACAATAACACAGTTGCATATTTTATTCAAGACTCTTAATGCACTGCCATCTTGTGACAATCTAGCTGTTGAAAATGGATTGTTTCTTCCAGGGATCAAGTCTTTACAGTGTGGGGATTTTGTAATCGTTAACTTGCTAAGACTCTTTCTTTTCAAGGCCCTGATCGAAAATACCATCTCTATATCACAGACTACAGGTGGTATAGTACAAGAGGAGAAATAAGGCAAGACCTTCTTCTCTTACCTGAGCTCCCAGTAAGCATAATAGAGAACTTTAGGTGTTCTGGCCTTTATGATGCATCATTCCTTCCCTCTGGAAAGTGCTTTTTATATTGTCTGTCCAATGAATGGCCCTTTTCTGCCCCACAGTAAGGACACTTGGCTATGGAGGAATTGTATCACATGCTTACTACTTCACATTCTCAAGTATTTTGTATCCATCTATTTTATGACCACTCTGCTTGTCAACAAGTGCCCTCATGTAATCTTGGGCAATGGCTTTGCACTTCTAGGGCCCAGCCTCTATAACTCAGGCCCACAAAAGCTGGACCTTAATGCTACTGCAGCATTGTCAGTCCAGTTTATCATTTGGACTTCAGGGCTGAGGGATCATATATCAGCTTTATTTTTGTAAAGAAAAACTGAGTAGTAATTTAACGTCAAAAGACATCCACAAAAGGTATGATTTGGGGTGATGTTTCCTCCAAACTGATTTAGTAGAAGGGTTGAGTTGAAATCTGGATGCAATAGACTGCACTTAAGCAGTGCTAAGCCAAATGTCACAGCTCACAGCCCCTAAAGCTTTAAAAACTGTGAGAGAAAAACAGTGAGACTGAGACAGCACAATCTAAATGTTCCAGTTTTCCACTCCTCTTTTCTTCACCAGTGTTCTCACTGGTTAACTCCTGCAGGTGAGCTATTTATCTTCTTTAAGTTAACAGTTCAGCACCTTGAGCCAACTCACCCTTGAACCATCAATACCACTACCAGGGAAAGTCATGACCACTCCACCTAGAAGTACCTTTTCTTAGACCATATCAGATGTAACATGTAGGCTGTAGTTTCATGTACACTTGGCAACAGTCTCATTTCTACCTCTTAACACACATCAATCCCACACTGTCCTTTACAAGTCCTTTTCCCATTCCTTCAGTCACTTTTCTTCTGCACCCTTCCTGCTTCCTTTTGAAACATGCCAGCACAGGTTATGCTTTGTACAAAGGGAAAACAACATTCAGAATAGCTAAGAGTTTAACATATGCAAATTTGACTTCAAAAGAGCTTCAATAGTGGAATATTAAAAACCCAAACTGATTGTGACTGTGTAAGTGAGGGATGTAGAGTCATTCATTTTCTGAAAGATCCCATTTTCCCCCCCATCATCTTTTAGGTGAGCTTACTGGAAGATATACAAATTGCTACTAGTAGAGGTCAAGACCCATCATCCTCACACCACAATATAAATCTGAACCAAACACTTCACCACTGTTTCAGTCCTCCTGATGCTATGCTACTAAGAACAGACTACCCCACTCAGTCAAATTCAGAAACAAGACATCTACAAAGGCAAGAGTCTTTTGCTCAGTCAAGCTCTAATATCACAAATCCAGAATCACTCCTTCATGGGTCTAATTTGACAGGGTGGTTTTCAGCTGGTGACCTTAGAAACCTAGCAACCCATGATTATAATTTTGATGAAATTAAACTCACGTCTTTGGCTTTGGAGGAAGGCTTTGATCCTATAGAAGCTTCTCAGGTCTTTGAAGAACCTGGCTCAGATTTGGGACAATCTTTGAATTCAAGTCACAGCATCACCTCTTACTCACTCTGCAGTGAAGGTGCTGTTGGGAACAGCAGTGGTGTTAAATCTGCTTCTTTACACGGCTTGGGAGCTGTTGGTGGCCATTGCCAAGAAAACACTAAATATGGCCACGTGGAATATCCAGGTGATACAGAGTGTTCTAGAGAAGCCACATCTCAGCAGTTTCTTCATAACCACACTTACAATCAGCTGCCAAGTCAAGCAGCATCCACACTAGAGCATCATCAACAGCTGTGGATGAAGAAATCAAATGAAGTAAAGGATAGGCACCGTAATTCTACCAATGCAAACCACAGCAGTGATGAATGCCGTGCAAAAGCTCTGAGAATACCGTTTTCAGTAGAAGAAATTGTAAGCATGCCTGTTGACTCTTTCAACACCATGCTAGCAAAGAACCAGCTGACAGACACTCAGGTATCACTTCTACGCGACATCAGACGAAGAGGCAAAAACAAGGTAGCTGCCCAAAACTGTCGTAAACGCAAACTGAACGCAATTCTTAACTTGGAAGAAGATGTGTGTAATCTTCAAACGCAAAAGGAGAGCCTTAAAAAGGAGCACTCTCAGTGTAGCCAATCAATCAGCCAGATAAAGCAGAAGTTAAACAACTTGTACCATGATATTTTCAGTAGACTGAGGGATGACCAGGGTAGACCTGTTAACCCACGCCAATACGTCATTCACTGCAGTAGCAATGGCAGTGTTTTCGTAATGCCCAAACACTTGGTCAAATCTGAACAGAAACAAGATAACACAAAAGAGTAGAAGCAAAAATGAAATGGCTGAAGATCACTTAGGTTTTATTTTGCCTGAAAGAATGTAAAGGATACTTGGAAGACTGGAGGTCAGTGATTACAGCAGTTCAAACAAAACCAATTACACTTGAGGAGAAACACTGCACATTCAACCCAGCCAACTCTGATGTGTTATAAAGTTTATGAGCTAAGGCTTCTGAATGATTAAATTGTGGAGTTCTAGTTAGAAATAAAGAAGCTAGCACACCAGTGTAAGTGCAGTATTATAGACCTATGTTAAAACTCGTTACTGGTGATGGGGGGGGAGAACAGCAGCAGGGGATAAAAGCCAGCTTTAGATCAAAGCAACACATGCAAGAAAAACGTGTTTTAGCCTTGAATACTTGATTTTTCATAAAGTGACCTTATTTTATTCTCTAGCACTGAAAGAAAAATTGTAGCTCTAGTTCACCTTTGACTGAAATTCACTGTGGATTTATGCATTCTCAAGAGATAATCTGTGCTTTGTATTTGTTCAGAACTGTTCTGCTTTTCCTAGTTTGAGGAGAGAGGCTCAAGGAGGCTATTGCATTTTTCCTCACTACTTTCATGATCATAGCTCTAAGCAAAGACAATGTACCAATTAATTCTACAACTCATATGGTCAATCTGCAAATAGATTCTGAAAAATAATTAGCCTGATGCAATATTGTCTTACCTTCATCCTCTGCAACTGAATCATTCTTGACTTTCTTCCATGGAAATGACTGAAGATGAATGAGTGCCTGTCCTGTTTCCTAGTGACTGTGATGTACTTACTTGTGTACCTTCCCTTTTTCCCCCATTTTGATACCTTTCTCAAGAAGTACTAGAGTCTTTATCTTTTTTAAGCTGGTATTTTTTTAAGTGTCTTCAATGGTACAGATTTAATTAAAAAAAAATAAATTTCCCCGATCTTTAAAGTAAATTAAATTGAACCAAATTATTATTTATCTGTATTTGTGATTATGAGGTTACACTCCGACAGTGGCTGTGAATAAAGTTATTTATTTGTGCTATGAAAAAGACATTTTATTCACAACAGCCCACCCTTTACTATTTCACATGAAAAGGGTCTGCAAAAGAGATGGCCTAAAAGGCATGGAACAAATGATAAGGAATGTTGATGCATACAAGTCTGTAAGGTATTAAAATAACTACTAACATTTAGATAGCAACAGATACTTTTTATATATTTTATAAACAAAACACATAAAACTGATACTGAAAAAGAACAACTCACTGGCCACGGCACGACGACAATGGAGCAAGTTAACAGTCAGGTATGTTAAAAGATCACTTGTACCAAACATGTAACTACACACAGATGCAATACAGGTTTGAATGCCAAATTATACCTTTTGAAGAAACAAACTGTGCCATTAGCATGTGTATCATGTTGGTTGCTTGCACTTATGTTTAACAAAACTGATAGTATCAAGTGTTATTTTCTGAACAGGAAGCACTGCCTCAGTGCAAAGTGCACTGAATTATAAATAATGAAATCAGCTGTTCTGAACAATTTGCATTTTATATTAAAAGACTTCTTTAAATAAAAGTGTGCATCTGTTCCTTTATTCATCCGTTTCACCACAGCCTCAAATTGATAGGGTAAATTCATAGCAGAAACTCTCACTAATGAGGCTATGAAATTTCTTGCCATTGGTTAAAGATCAGTGCGGAGTGTATCTATCCTCAGTATTCACGAGGAATTTATCTAGTAATAGCTAATTATGAACTTCAACCAAAACAAGCAACAGGTAACAGATACATATAATAAACTTTAGTTACAGGGGAAAAAAAACAAACATACTTGAGTCAGCATGATTGTCATCTTTTAATTAAATGACATAAGCATTTTAAAGTCCATGCACATATATCCTTTGCAGGACAAGGTCTTTACCTCATGGCCCACGTGCACAAATTCTGAGAGATACAAGTCTGTAACTGATAAATCCAGAAAGCCAAGTAATTTTTGTTTTAGGGCCTTACAATTTTCTACAGTCCTACAAAAATAAGTAAAAAGCAAAAAAGCACCTTTTGGTGCACTGTTCAGTAGCAGTGGTGAGTGAACTGCACTCTTGTAAAGCCAGCTGCTAATGAAGCAAGGCACACACACAACTGGGAAACTTACACAGCTGAATTTTGGCACATGCCAAAACTAAGGAAGCATGCTGCAGCCCTTTCAGAGCACAAGCCTAATCCTAATAGAATAGAAAGCAGCATATCCAGATGAGCCAAATAAAGTGAAGACATCAGCCCCAAGCCCATTCCATTGCCTGGAAATTTGCAAAGGACTATGAACTGCTCTCAGCTAATTTAACTGTCATTATTGTTCAACAGAAGTTATTTCTTTACTAAGTTAGTGTATGAATCTCACTTTCTGCAACCTCAACTAGCAAGTATACCCTAACTTCTTAGGTAGTCATTTTGCTGCACTGTAACAGTACTGATGACACAGATACTGAGCATTAGGTCTGGATGCAAGATTTTCTTAAACCTTCACAGCTAAGTACCCACCCAAGCTGTAGGCAGAGTTCAGACTAAAGTCTTTAGTTTGCAAACTGCCATTAAACTTTGCCTAAAAATTGTTGATAGTATTTGAAGTGCATTGCCCTTCTGCAACTATAGTCTATTTACAAACTCAACCAATTCCAGACAAAAATCCCCAAACATTGCTTAGTCTTGGCTATGCCTTATTTTAGCATACTTAAAATTTGTGTAGGTTAGGCCTGACCTGTATTTCATTCAACAGCCTTAGTCTGCATTTGCAATCCATATGCAAAAAAAGGCGACACTACAGATGAGGAGCTATGCAGAATAACAGGACTGATAAAGAAATGTTACCAAAGTGCTTGCTTGGCTTCATTATTGGTAGGCTATAACTTTCAAGAAACCGAAATCTTAAGTGTACAAACCAGGTACCTCATTGTGTAAAAACACATGATGAGATATCAAACTTACTCTTGAGCCAGGTAAGAAAAAGCTATCAAGGCTGCATCCTACCTTACTGAACACTAGTATGTAGAAGAGCAACTCTCTGAAAATGGAACAATGAAAACACTTTTTACACCGCTAGAAAACCACAAAGCTGAGGAGTGCAAATGTAGCTGTTCTTACAGCAATAAAAAAATGGAAATACCAAGGTAGAAGTGCTTATTAAAATACTGTTCCCGTGGTAATACTATTAAGTGGTACTTAACACTTCATTGGTAAACTACATTTTTTGTTGTATCAATAATGAAGAGGTTATCTGCAAGAGGTTAGAAAAGGTCAGATTAAGCATAGAAGAAACAGTGAGTGGTGAGGATAGCACAAAGCAGAGATTACCTTCCCACTACTGCTGATAGCAACATGCATAGGCACTATGGAGCATTACCTGCTCGGAGCTCATAGATCCTCACCTTTTCTGGAGAAGCATCCATCAGAAACAAATGTGAGCCGAGCACTTTATTAGACTGCAACACCCACAGCACATTTTATGACATGTAAAGCTGCACACTCCCTCCCCCACAGAGGAGACACACCAACACTACTGTAACACTACACACACTCCGAATAACCACTAGAGCACCGCACCGAAGTGCAGTTTTAGAGCTTCATGGTTTGTTTTTATTCCATAGACTTGTCTTTTTACAGAAGCCAAATGTTACAAGCTGAGACTGTTCCTGCTTAAGAGCTTACAATCTAGATTTAGACGGGGGAAACCAGAACAAACTTCAATGATGAAATAAAGGACAAAGCAACTTCACAAATATCAGTTTGTCAGTCTTTGTCCTGAAAGATACACACAGCATTTGCATCTTACAGGAGTCAGAAGTACAGCTCTAACATGAATCTTGAGGACAGAGTTGGCAGACGCCTATAAATGAGGCAACAGGACACTCAACACCAGGTTGTAAAAAACTATTTATTAAATAAACCAAATAAAGATGGCATGTGTAACCACATGAAGTCTTATCACTGTAGTGTACCTCATAAAAGTATTGCAACTTGATACCTGCTACACAGCTACTAGAACTGCTTTTGAAGACCATCAGCCACTCATTTTCATACACTGCCTCCAAACAAACAAGAAAGAGGAGACCAAATAAGTGGGTTGGGGGGTGGGAGGCGTGTTCGTGAGACCTTAGGGAATTAGAACAGCAATGTTCTAGGCCTTTCCCCTGGTCACCCTTGTTCACACAATGAAGAAGCATGGGAGGTCACACAAACTAGTTTGTAACTACATGGTCCCCAAACACTGTTGCCCTAGTATGTTCATCACGCTGTCAGCAAGTCACATGGCTATTTATACACCGTTAATTTCACTGCTGATAAACAAACCACTTCTTGCTCCATTAACTGGAGTAACTCCTGACAACACTGACACTTCTGCTGCAATGCAAATCAACACTAGCTGCAAAGCAAGAACACAACTGTTAAAAGGAAAAGGACAGTATGACTTCTGGCAAACTGATCAGCATTACCCATGCAAACCCTTCCATGTCACACTCTTATGCATTCTAGATGTGCTGGAATGTACAGCTGAAAAACCAAGAAGTGAACCTGGCATTTCCCTCAGGAGGAAAAAAAAGCACTGCTATGGGGCTTGACTTGTATAACACACTCTTCTTCAAAAACAAACTGAAACACTAAAGCTACAGGGAATGTACTGTTACAGTATGTTCGAGCAAATAACCCTCTATCACAGAAGTGGTCAAGCTGCCAAAACAAATTCAGCCAACAAAAATTCAGATCTGTTTTTGGGGTTTATTTTTTCTTCCCCCATAGTACATTCATCATAAAACTAGAAGAAGTCTTCTTCCCCACACATAATGCAGTTCAATTCCTGTTCCATTTTACAAGAAAAGCAATTGCTCACATTTTCCTAAATGCTTTTCAGCATCTGCAGCACGAAATAAGTGAATAAAATTGAACTTTCATTGTAAATAAAACAGAAAAAAAAGTCTGAGTGGCCAGAACCCTAGTATTGACCTTGTTTCACAACCA